CTCTCTTACTTCTAGCTGGCAACCCAGAAGGGTTGATTTGCTCAGGCTTTAGGTGCCTAAAGAATGTCCTCCCCTTGGTACATACTTTTGGAGTGTATATCCTTTTTCTTCAGTGTGACAGACCCAGCAGTTCAGCTAGTATGTCCTTCGCCATTAGAACCTAGTCGTTTGGTTCTCCAATCTCGGGCCCTGGTTCAAATTCAGCTCTCTTGTGATACTATCAAAAATCACTGTTATTCCTAGCTCGGGACTTCCCAAATAGGTTTTTAGTTATGCTGGTTTCTCAGATTTATTGCGCCATTGCTCCTATTACTAGATGGTGTGACCGAAGTTACAGATTAAATCCAACTGATATACATAGCTGTCAACTGAACACAAGCCTATTTTTCAAATATCATCATCCATGAAATTCGAACTCTAGACCTTCCACTTGGAGAGGATAATGACTAGACCACTACACTAAGTCACCACACCTCTCAAAGTTTTTTTTTAAAAAATTGTTACTGCTTTTTTATTATAGGTTTTTTAACTTTGAGTGAATATATCTCAGCAACTATCTAAGCAAATTTTGATGAACTTTTTTTTCTTTTAATTCTAGAAATCTCTATAATTAAAACAAAAAAAAGTTTATTGAATTTGCTTAAGTAGTTGTCGAGATAACTTTGCTCAAAGCTTTTTAAAAATTGTTACTGCTTCTTTATTATAAACATTTTGAATTTCTGCTAACTTTGAGTAAAGATATCTTGACAACTATCTAAGCAAATTCGATAAACTTTTTTTTCTTTTAATTTTAGAGATTCTGGAATTAAAATAAAAAAATTCATTGAATTTGCATAGATAGATGCTGGGATATCTTCGCTCGAAGATTTAAAAAATTTAATTTTTAAAAAATTAAATTGGTGTACATAAGCTTACACAAAACTGGTATACAAAAAAAATTGCTAATCAAAAAAATGTCTCTTCTTTTGCATAAGTGATATAAAATTAGTGAATGTGGCCAATCAAAATTTATTGGCTAAGCTTAGCCAATAAATTTTAGTCAGCTTAGTCAGCTTAGCTGATTTTCTAATTAGGTTTCAATCATATGACTAGATATGTTTATTTACATAGCAGATAACAATAGATTGCTCACATGTTGAACTTTACTAATGCTAAAAATACTTTAAATAAATTTGAAATTACAAGATTAGTTGAAATTTAATAAGCATTTATTTAATAAATTTGAAAAAAAACGAATAACATGTTTAATTTGTATAATATGTTAAACACTTATAAATCAGGCCCATTTTGACCTAGCTTCTATTCTTAGAGGTATAAATATTTCTACTGGCTTACAATTGGACTTAGACTTTTATTAATTGTATAATAAAAGTTTTGTTGTTTGAAGACACAAAGTCAAAGGCAATATATACTTTTCTGGTTATTTCGGCAAAGAACTACACTAATATTTGTCCAATAAGATAAGTGCATTGTCATTTAATTAATTCAACTTATTTAATTTCAATTTGCAAATTAAAATTTTGAAATAGACAACACTAATCTTCGATTTTTGTTAGATATGCTTTAGATTCTTATGATGTTTTACTTTAAAGCTTATAAAGAGAAATACTAATTTGCGTGACTTGTCTGAATTTATGCATTGGATTATTTTATAAAGAAATTAACTTTTGTTCTACACACTATATGAATAGCTTTAGATTAGCTATTTACTTAAGTCCTCGAGTAGTTCAATTACAATTGTCACTTGGTAAGTTTATTGATACAATTTTAATTATATATTTATTTAATTTAAATGTTTAAACTTTAAGTATTGCTTCATTTTCGTATATCATTTGGTAAGTTTCTTATATTTGAATTTCAGACTGTTTAATTAATTGCTAATTGTTTTTACTTCTAAAATAGCAGTTCTATATACTTAGTAAAATTATAGTGCACTGCATTGACTACTATGGTGTAACTATTATAATAGATTCTTTAATCTTAACTATATATATAAGGTTTTTTCACAGTAAAACCATACTTAAATTATATGTATTTTTTACAGTTTTATTGTAAAAGATCCATTATTTTTATATATTGAATTGTTATATAGCATATTTAGAGTTTAATTGAATTAATATATCAATAATATATAAAGCAGCAGATTAATTCTAATGATTTTAATATTTAAAGTTATGTCTTCTTTATTTTTTTTGATAGTAACAATTATAATGCCAGGAAAGAGATGATATCTTTAGCAATTTGTAACACAATATAATTGAAATAAACCTGTTTTAATTGCTCAAAAGTATCTATTAATAATAAAAAAAAAACTTGTTTTTGTGCATAATTATATATAAATTATATTTTATATTTTTGGAGATATAAAAATTGATTAGCTGATTTTGAAAAAATTGACTGGCTAAGCTAAAAATTTTTGACTCAGCCAATTTTTCCATATTGGTAAAATCACTATATGAAATCACCTTTTTAATCAACCACCTAAAGGGCCCTAAGCTCTCATTTTATAAGACAGTGAAGCAAGTTCACTGTAACAAAAAAACAGTGAGAGAATAGGCAAAAAGGTGGCAAAAAAGCAAAGACTTAAGTGACAAACCAAGGTTGGGTCATTAAAAAACCACCATACAAAGGCAAGACAACCGGATTTTGAAGCTAGCAAAAGAAAACATACATATTTTAGCACCAGAAATCCACTATGAGTTTCTTAAACAAAACGTAGACATTCGTATATGCATCATTCAACAGCACCTTGGTAAAGGTGGGGCTTACTATTACAGAAAACTCGCGAAGCTATTGCTCAGAGAGAAGCATCAGAAAAAACAGCTCTTGTGGGCAAAGAAATATAAGAATTTTGATAAAGACACTATAATATTTATTGATGAAAGTATGTTTCACTTGAATCAATAGTTAAAAAAGGCTTGGCAGTTCATCAAGGCAAGGAAAATAACCTATTCGTTAAGCATCTGTTGAAGGTTCATATATGAGAGTGTTTTTCTTCTTTGGGCTTTGGAAGGTTAGTCTGCTTTACATGAAATCTTAATGTGCAATATATGACTACTCTGTATGAAACAGCTCTTCTACCTTCTGCTATGGACCTTTTTGGTGAAAGTTGTAATAGTTGGATTCTGCAAGAGGACAATGACCCAAAGCACTGTTCAAAAATCATGAAGGTATGAAAAGAGGAAAATAATGTCACAGTTCTCCCCTGGCCATTAATGTCATCTGACCAAAACCCGATTAAGAATGTTTAAGAACTTATAAAAATGAACCTGGCAAAATAAAAAATTGAAAAGCTTAGTACTCTAAAGGCACAGATAACCAAAGAATGAAATCAATTGTCTAAAGAATATGCAGCTAATTTGGTAAGGAGCATGAGGTGTCATGTGGAGGCCCTAATTGAATCTGAGAGTGATTATACTATGCATTAATTTTTATATAATTTAATATACTTTTAAATAAAAAAATTTTTTCTCTACTATATCTCTGTGCTGAGTTATAGGTGTGAGAAAACTTTTGTCAGACACTGTATTAAAACTAGAACTTTAGATCTAAGACCATTTGTCCATAACTAAACCCCACCAGAGCTATCAACACTCCCACACATGTGATTGATCTGGATTTATATATCTCTCCCCAACTACCAATTAGTATTTACATGTCCACCACTTTATTTATATACCTAATATCTTAACTTCTAAATTAGTATGTACCAGGTGGATGCTTATTGCTCCTAGTTTGGTGTGCCTGGTCTCAACTAGTGTATTTCTAGAAGTTCATATCTCAAGCCATGCAGCTGCCTCTACCTGATTGGGTAAACATCTCAAGCCTGCATACTGCTGTAACTAGCTAGTTTTTGCAACTTTGAAACCCAGATCTTAACGTTTTAAATTTGATAATATGCAAACAACTGTACTTTCCAATATGGCAATGAGGCTGCCCAGACATGTTTTGCAAATGCTTTCAGTACCCAATATAGTTGGATGAGATCATGAGGTCTAGAGGTTCTTAACAGATGTATCATCATTTCTATTTATAGTGATTCTTAGCAATTGTAGCCCCTGGTTATCGCCGTATTCACTTATACTAGCTATACTTGTATTGGTGGTCATAAGTCCTTTTAATGTTTGAAAACTTCTATATAAGTACGACCAAAGCCTGTTAGGTCTATCAACACATACATGCCTTCATATTTCAACTTCTTATTGAATAGATATAGATTTATTTATTATTTTTTTTTTTAAAAGGTGAGGCCTTGCTTATATATTTATTAAGTAATTTATATAAATAATATAAAGAAACAAAACTAAATGAAGACTTAATTCATATATAAATGAATAAACATAAACTACATGCAAGAATAAAAGCTTAGATTAATTTATCTGCGACCTAAACCTATTAGAGTAGTCAAAGCTCACCTAGATTTGAATAGTTAATATATAATTAGTAGAAATACTGAACTGGATATACAAAGTGAACCAGATATTAAATTTAAGTTTAGTAAGCCCAGCTGGGGGCAAGAAGAGGAATCAGAATATAATTGATCAGGTATTTGCATAAACAGTTGTATGTAAAAGTGTTACGAGTTCTAGCATATAGATATAGATTTACAATATTATATAAATATATATATACATATAAATTTTATTTTCAAATTTCAATTTTTTCAAAAATAGAATTTGGATATAAAATTACAATTTTGTTAACAAAGATTTCAAATTATTTACATATAGTATTGCAGAATTAGAACAACAAGTTAATAATTTACCTGAAATTGAAATTTTGAATTATCAACTTAATAATTTATCTAAAATTGAAGAATTGAAACATGATTTACAGAAATTAAAGAAATAGAACACAATTCATCAGAAATTAAAGAATTGGAACATAAAACTGATAATATGTCTGAAATTAAAAAATTGAAAAACTAAACAAGGAATTCATTTGTCAATTTTTTGGAAAAGATAAGAGTAGATTATGAAAAACAGGATTCTCAACTTTTCATGGTGCTTAATAAATTTTTGAAAAGATATAAAACCACTAAATAACAGTCAATTTCACAGTTAACTCCCTTTCTATATGAGATTAATCATAATTCAGATCCTTTGGTGCATGTTATAGGTGGCAAAAAGATCCTTATGCAAGTAGAATTTGTGAAGCAAAGAAAAACTAAAAGTACAAGTATCAAACAAAGGCATTCAAAAATTACTGATGAAAATGATCAACATAATATCAAGACAAGAAAGATAGATAAAAAAAGCCATAATCTGAACAAAAATGTTCAAGCCAACATATTAAACTAGATATAAAGTCTAAATTTATGATTTATCTAAATAAAGATTTACTTGAATATTTTATTTAAGATGAATTATGTTTTACATTTAATGAAGGTCTCAAATCAACAAATTGATGTATATAATTTTAAGTCTTAAAATTAGAGATTAGTACAGTATATTACTTTAATAATTTAATATATCAGTATTATTGTTCTAAGATTTGATTTAATTGAAATCTTTGATATTATAAAGTTAAGATTAATAAATATGTATATGCAAATATATTCGCAATGGAACTATTTCTTTTTAACTTTAACTGGTGCTAATAAATTTGGTCTTGAAGTATTGAATAAGTGTATTTAATTACCCTTTAATTTCTCTTGTATTTAAAAAGCTAGCTTAAACAAAAATTTTTGATTCAGATAATCTCTTATCCAAATAGTTGCAACACTATACTATTAGGAGGTTTCAAAGTTAAAATCAGAGAATCTCATTTTATTTTTCCGATTTATAATTCAACATAGTAAAAATACTATTGAAAAAATCCTATTTATTTTCGAAATGCGTCACTTATTTGTTAACTTTGAAACCCCTATTAAGTGAAAAGTCGTTCAATAACGATTAGATTATTGTTGGCTAGTATCGTTGAGAACTAATAAATCTACTTAACTAGTCAAAATTTCATAATAAAAGATACGTTCAATATAAATATCAGATTAAAAGATTAAGCATATATTACTAGTATTTACCATTCTCTAGTTACAATTTTGCACATTCATTATTTTATTAAAAAAATAAATAAGTAAAGTATCGTAATTCATATCAGATATTACGTGCTATTTACAATATTACATAGTATATAGTTATTTATTTGTACAACAAGAGGTTCATTCAACGTGCCAAAAATCTTAATTTTATTGGCCAAGTTTGTGTTACTTCATGATGCTGTAATGATCTTCGCGTGATCCACGCGTTGATTCCGAGAATAGAGGGGCAAATTGCGTGATCCACGCGTTGATTCCGAGAATAGAGGGGTAAATTGCGTGATCCACGCGTTGATTAGCTGAATAGATAATCAATCTAAACTAGGTTCAAATTTCGCCTATTTCGGAATGATGGCCAAAATCTATCGGAATATTTCGGGTATACTAGCAGCATTCGCATTATACTACGTATCCCGCGTGGTATCCAAAAAAATCCTGCGCATCCCGCGTGAGATTCCGCGCGGATCACGCGCGTTGACCATCATTAATCTTTACCAGCTTGCAGTGATCAGATTTACAAGTAACCGGTTCTACTATTTAGATCGAAACAATAAAAAAAATATTACGTTAATATTATCGTTATTAACAAAATACGTTGAAACGACATTTAAAAGCTCAACAACAAGGCCTGTTTTTAGTTGAATACTAAGGCTTTTGAAGTTAAAACTTCGTTTAACTTTATTTTATATTTATTATTTACATGGGGGAGGGGAGAAGGGGAGAAATTAAACAATCAAAAAATAAACATATAAGCGAAACATTCCGATTGTTGAGCCGATTGTTACATCGACTAATTTGTCACTTTTATTTGTCTAATTTTGTTCAGGAGATGGAGGGGGATAATGTTAAAAAAGAAAATTCAACTCCAAACGGCCTAAATTGTGCTGTCCATCTTTCACGAAACATCACATCGGACCGTTATTTAATTTAAGCCTGTATGACTTGGAAATCACGGAGCCGACACATATTGTGAGATAGAGTTTCGCCAAGGTTCGACGTTCGCCAAGAGATTTTGACTTTCGTCTTTTTTTGGGTTAGGCTTCGTCTTTCGCCATTTTGGAATAACTAATAAGAAAAAAGAAGAAATAGATCCGTGATAAAAACTATGAGATGGTGAATAACTATACTGACTTGATGCTAAAATCTGATTATAATATCACACCATTTTGCAACCAAATTTTGCTTGATATAACCAAAAAATGGGTAGCGTTGAGTAAATATAACCCATTACTACTTATATATTTAATATCCACAGCTCACACTTTCATGTACTTTAAAGTGAACTTGAACCAACCCCGTATTTTTGTGTTCGAACTATGTTCATGTTTGGTATTGTTGGTTCGAGTTCAACCCAAAAACCAGAAAACTATATGTGGATCAGGTTCAACCGAACATCGAATCCTATACATACTGCCACTTTTAACAAATTCCACCAAAATATTTTGACTTATCTAAACCAAAAATCGTTCTTTCACAGTCTATTAAAACTTAATTCCAAAATTAAAAATTTGATTAAACTACCGCTATCTATTACTTAGTGAACTTTTCAAGAAGTTATGATATTATTTCTTGAGATTCCAAATTGTAAACAATGGTGCAATAACTTTCACTTAACAGACTATACTACATATTATATAAACAAACCCATAAACAAATCTCTACTAATCGACAAGACAACTTAATTATTGAACACAATTTCTCGTAAATAATAACTTATTATCGGTGATGAAAACAAGTTGTTATATGATTCTTCATTAGAACTTACACTGTAGTTCCCAAACAAAAATATGAATCCTTTATTATTTCACTAAAAATTGTCCAAGAATTCCCTTCCTTATCCTCTATAGTAGGCCCTCTGTAAATGCACCCGATGTTATAGTTCTAATATCTGCGTGTTATTTATTACAAATATATATGATTTGAAATCTTTGAAATAAATATTCATACATTACTGATTATAATAAACCATATTTAAATTTGTAAAAATTAATTAAAATATAAAATCTCTTTAAAATGACTTAAAACAATCATCATCAAGAAAGTAACCATTGGAATTGCAGCTACATAACCGTAAAATAACAAAGCAGACATTTCTTCTTGAAAATTGTCAGTAAGTTGAGCCAAATTCATACAATTTACAGCCGTTGGCCCACTTGCCATTAATATTAGAACAAACCATAACATCGGATCATTTAAATACCAATCTCTGGTCAACATTACCATCACAGTACCTATGACCGGCATTATTATAAGCCGACAAGTTAAAACATAAGCTATCATATGAGCAATACTCTTACTCTTTGAAATTGAGAGGTTTTTTAATTGTGCACCGAGAGTTAATAACGTCAAAGGAACGGAAACCGAACCAATATATTCCACTGCTTGTGTAAGTGGCATAAAAGGTGCGTTTTTGTCGAAAAGGAAAGATTTCAATGGAGGAATTGCAACAATAACTAATGCCACCAATGCAGCATATAATGGTGGATTCATGAATTTAAATTTGAAAATTGTCTTTACACGCGACCAAACTGGGTGCAATCTTTCCACATAGGGATGTAATATTCTTTGGGATGCCAAGAGTGGTGTTATTTCATCTGCAACAGGTCGCTTTGATGGATCATTTTCTGTTATATCTGTTATTTCATCGAAATTATGTTGTGGAATTAACGAACGTGTTTCTTTTTTCAGTAAATATGCACCAAGAGACCATCTATAAAATAATCAAAAAATGTTGAAATCGAGTGCACATTAACTAAATACGTAATTTATGATAAATATAAATAACTGACCTTAATAAATTTGTCCAAAGCGTGGCAAGCAAAACATAAGAAATCCCCCGTTTGGCAATAACATTCGGAGTGTCATCGGGATACCATTTCAAAATCATGATGGCGTCCGTTTTTTCGATACCTCTTAGCAAGCCCAGAGAAAGGCTCGTTACATTATTAAAAATAATTCCAGTTATAACAAACTTTGTATTTGAAACATTATTTAATTTTAGCAATGTTCCGCTTAATAAACCAAGGCCTGAACCAATTGTTATAAATATGAAGAAAAAAGCAGGTATTGGCCAAAGACTTATTAATGTTTCGACAGTAACACTGGAAGCAACGTTCGAAAATAAGAAACATGGCATAAAAATGTTTATTATTAGACTCGAAAGATTCTAAGAAATGAAAAAAAAAATCAAGTTGATTAATGACAAGTAGAAAACAAAAACACTAAAAAATTTTAAGACAAACCTTTTGTATGTTTGTTGTTATTAATTCAAGTTTTGCCGCGAGAAATCCCGCAACGCACACTAGAAGGACTTGTGAGCATGACTATAATAATAAATGATCAAGTTGTTAGTTATTAATATGATGGAATTATAGATGCATACGTACATGATCAAGATCAAAAATAGTACTTGAGCAGAAGCCAAAAATATAGAGCCCAGATCAGGTAAGGTTGTATCCATGATCGTTTATAAAATTTAAAATTGGGTTTGCAGATTTATTAAATTTATTGTATCAAATGTTACGTGAAAGAACGTTTATAAAAAATTTGCATCCAAATATTAAATAAAAGATGAGAGAAAAAGATGAGAGAAAAAGCCAAGTTTCAACAAGTTATTTAGAAATTAGTGTCGTACACGTCTCCCTAGTGAAATATAACGCAATTTTATCGTCATATGGGAATTTCAATGATCGATACCATATATGGAACATGATTCTATCGGAAAGATAAAAATTTTTTTTAGAAATTTCGAAAACCCTCTTTACTCCGAAGAGAACAAACAAAAATAAATAAATATATGGACATGAGTCCTATCCAATAACGATATGAATTTCAAATGCTGCTAAAACTCAAATAGATCAGCTTCGGATAAGAAGTATTTTGTTATTCGTTAACTTTATGCAACTTGGATTAATAAGGTTAATAATCTATCATTCGAGTAACCTGTCATAAACAATCCACCAATCAGAATATGGCTACCTCAAAATCGGGATGATTAACACAATATTACGTTTTTGTTTACCAGTTCTTTAAATTTAACTTACGTAATTTATCTAATTTATCTATTATTCATTTATTTTTATTTATCTGTTACCCAAATTTAATATTTAAATCACAAACCTAAACCTAAACATGGTCTACGTAGCGCTTAGGCCAAATATTTGTCATGTGATATAATGATGATCACTGAGTTAACAGTTCTTGAAGCTGCTATCCCAGAATAGGTTATAATAAAACAATCACGCGACTATTATATTATTTTATCCAATTAGAAAGTATCAGCTTTTATCACTAATCGTAATAAAATTACATCACAAATTTCTTTTCTCTTTCTATTAGTTTTAATAATCCAAATATTCTCTGTTTAAAAAATGCCGTTTACTCATAACCATAGTGTTGAACTTTGTTCCGCTGATTGGGTGGTTTTTAAAATTAATGATAATATAGAGCCTAAGAGTGGCGAGAAAACTTACCTCATCAAATCTATTTTCAAAAATGACTTTTATCTTGTACTTGTTACAGATCTACGGCGTGTGTGGTTTGAAGAATTAAGAGGCATTGCAATAATCGCACGTGCAAAAGTAAGACATCCATAGTGATAACGCCCATGTTCTTTGTTTTTGAACAATAATATTAATTAAATAATACTGTTTAAGGAGATAGAAACAGGTTTAGACACTACGGATGAGCTTCAATTACCAAATTTGTTAACACTTCTCTCGGAACTTTTGAAAGTTCAAAAACAGGATTCAACTTATGATGTAGAATTAGTCAAAGACAAGGCAATGATTTTTCTTCTCATTTAACCACTAACATGTCAATAATACTAATTACTAATATTTTCATGTAATGTAGTTTAATTTAAAAACATCAATAAATCTTGGATTGGCATCTCTTCGATGGCTGTTTTCATGTGAAATGATATCATCATCACAAGAATCTGAAAATCTTGGAATTAATGTTCTTGATGGACAATCGGTGCTTTATCAACACTTTATACTACCTATGATGCATGTTATGTTAGAATATAGAGAACAAGCGAATATTTTAGAAACCATGATCAAGGATAAAGAAAATGAAGTATCGGAGGTACTAGAATTATTGAATAAGGCCAAATCATCCAATGATGATAGAAGTAAGCGTTTCAAATCCATGTCATCTAATTACATCATCTAATTATAATTAATCTTTTCATTGTTAAAGAACACAAGACTGAGCCATTTGATGAAGAAAGATTGGATCAAATTGCGAAAAATGTATTTCATAATCACTTTCACATGTTTTTTTTTTTTTTGAATTTAAATCAAAATTATTAAATAATTCGGTTTAAAAGAAAATAGTTCTCCCTGTGGATTACCCAAATCGAATTTTTTCCGATTCTAAAACTCGTTTATTTTTTAAGAATGTTACTGAGAAATCCATTTCATGGTCATTCATGGATCAAGATGTCAACCAACTAACGGATTTGGATTCTTCATTTTTTTCTACAAAACGAATCCAAAGTCCATCTGTTCCTTTTAATTCTCAAGCCAATTCTAGTATCGATGTTGGCCAAACTTCTAATTCAGATGTGGACGATTTAGCTGCATGGGAAGTTGTTGAATCATCACAATCAACTTTACAATGTGAAACGCCTGATGTAAAAATGAGTTCGGTAAAATCGATTAATAATTTATTAAAACTTATTGAACTTTTGGAATAGATAGCAGTTATGACTAAATTTTGATTACAGGAATTTAAAGAAATTGACCTTTTAGGACGTGAATTAGAAAAGCGTGAACAGCTTAAGGTGATGATAAAGAAGGATGGAATGAAAAGGAGGAAAAAGAAAGTGTGGTAAAATAATGTGATTACGAATTTGCAATAATCCCAAATTAATGTCTGGCTTAGATGTCCATTGTTTTTGTTAATAAGTATAATGATAAGATAATTATAATAATAAATGCAAAAGGGGGTAACCGGTTTATCTTGACTTCCAACTTTGTATCGGTATCCGAATCTGCAATAGTCCCACATTATGCTTGGTTTAGATGTCCATTGTTTTGTTAAGAAGTAATACAATAATAATAAATGCAAAAGGGATAACAAGTTTATCTTGACTTTTGTCTTGCATTTTGGGGGTATCGGTATCCATCGAGTCAGGTACGTACATACGTACGTACGCGATAAAAAAATCATATACATTACCATAAATGTTGCATTTCTCTTATCGTGTTATGTTTAACAAAGCAGTGCCCCACGGAGTTCATTTACTATCATATGCAACTCTTGCATTTCGCCTTCTATAAGGTGCATGAGTACAGGGGCACAAAAAGCAAGTTTTCGACATATTGTAATTTTATAATGGGAAAAAATTCGTATAATTGGAAAACTTATTTAAAATACTTGGTTAACTAAAGGATTTGGTTCTTTTTGAATGAAATTCTTAAAAAGCCGATCTTCTTTTAGAACAGCTTTTGAAATCCTTAAAAAACCGGTTTTTTTCGCGGCAATTGCAAGAGCATGTGCGTTAAGTCTTATTACTACTTTTATTTTATTTTTTACTTTTAGGGTGAATTTATTCGTCTCTCATCAGGAGGGCGTTACGAATGAAAAGCAACTGTCCCTTCTGCTTTCGTGCTACACCTGCTAACAGTATACTACTTGACAAGCGGGGTGAAAAAAAAACTAGAAAAAACCGCTGATTACCATGTAAACCAAAAACTAGGTTAGTGCTACGTATGTCGTCTGACAGGCCATAAATTCTCTAAAACAATTAAGTCGTCCCGGCAAGTCATCAAATAATATCTTCTAACGCTAAGCAGACCGCAAGTCGGGTTAACAGAAAAAAACGGAAATTTCTTATCTAGGAAAAACCCCGTTCTCCATACTATACATACCCCCCACGATTTGTACCTGGGATTAACCACGTATATTTCGTAAACATGATTGTAAAAGACCCGGTATATCTAAGTGAAGTGCCGTTTATTACATAATTCTAAGGTCATCCTCTGTGATCGAATTAGCAACCAATCATAATATATATATATATATATAATATAGACGCCCCCTTCCATCCTCTTGAAATTACGTAATAAACGGCACTCCCTAAAACATGATAACGATAATTGCCCCTATGAAGTAGGGTACCAACTCGACTTCAGAGGTCGAGCCTTAATTCGGCTCCAAGCAGACTTGTGTAATACAAGATTCAAACTTTGAACCTTGCATTACTTAAATAATGTATTTCACATGACAGAGTGAGTTTTTGTTTCAAGTTTGCTTGGAACCGAGTACAAATTAAGACTCGACTTCTGGAGTCAAGTTGGAACTAAATTAGATTTTCCGGACTTTCACATATTTGCATAGGATCGATTTTCTGGTTACTTGATTTTCCGAAATCAGTTAACCAATTAAAATCAGGATCAGGTGTAATGTAAAAAAAAAAATATTATAAATAGTACAGTCGGAGATTTTACCAAATATAGAGATGTCTAAAGCCATGTTCAGTTATATGATTTTGATTATTGAGAGTTAGAAGACGCTTTATAGTAAAATTGCTTTAGATACTGTACAGTAGGTTTAAATATTTATTTCTTATATTTTTTTTGCATTTGTTGCTTTTTTTTTGCTGTTTATTTTCTTTAGGCTGTTCCATGTTGATTAAAATTAACAACTTTATTGGTTTTATATTACATAATTAGATATAGTTTTAGATGACCCCAAATATGAACAGTGTTAATTGCATCTTTTATAGCATACTAATTAGATATTTCTAGACACTTTTATTACATATTGGTTAGTTAATTAAATTGTAATTTTAAAAAACTAATAAATGTATAATATAAATATATTTATTAATAAAAATTATTTATTATTTTTTTATTTTTTTATTTTTTTTTTTGAATGGTGACTTTATTGGCCATGCTAGCATTTGTTTATTGAAGATTATTGTTTCTGTTGCAATGAGAGTACATCAAGCCACACATGCACTTTTGGTACCTAATTTAAATAGTCCACATTTAAGCTATTTTACTTAGAGTTTTACACTATCTGCTATACCTGCAATCTAAACTATGGGGCTGCCCATTTAAACCCTCTAATTATAACTTACTTCTACATGTAGAACCTCCAATATCCAAACTATATTAGGCCTTAGAGCTAATTTACCCCTAAGGTAATATCCAGCTAAGATAGTATATGTTTCACACATATAGCAATTACTTAGACTTATTAGTAATTATACTATGGCTTTACTCATATACTTGAAGTCAGGGTTAATTATTAAAACCCTACAATTACTTGCCCTTGTTAAATTCACACAACTCTAGTACCTATATTCAGACCTTCTTCTTTTCTGAATTCTTTATTAGCCTTTTTCTTGCTTCCAGCTGGCAACCCAGAAGGGTCAGTCTGCTCAGGCTTTAAGTATCTTATAGTTGCCCTCTCCTTGGTATATACTTTTGAAGCATATATCTTTTTTTTTGGTATATTTACCCAGCAGTTTGGCTAGTGTGTCTAGATTGGTTGTTTAGTTCTTTGATCTTAGTTCTCAGTTTTAAATTTAGCCTTTCTGTAGTACTATCAAACATTATGCTACCTCCTAATTTAAGACTTCCCAAACAGGTCTTCAGTTATTTTGGTTTTCTGAATTTATTATGCCAAAGCTTCTATAACTAGATAGTATAACCAAGGTTACAGATTTGATTCTAGATCCAACTGTTAATCGAACAGCTATTAACTATAACAGGTCTATTTTTTCAAATATCATTGTCTATAGGATCTGAACTCTAAACCTGTCGCTTGGAAAGAGTAACAACTAAACTACTATACTAAGTTACCATACCTCTTAAAAAATTATTTAAAATTTTTTAAATTTAAAATTACATATAATTTTATTTTTTTTGTTTAATTCAGCAACCATGTCAATACTTTATTAGACTACAATTATATTTACTACAAAAATAGTTTAATATATACATTTAGATCATTTAACTGTATTTACTTTATAAGTATTAGCTAACCCAGTTACTTCTAAAGTATCTATATTTAATCTACTATAGTAAACTTTACTTCCATATTAATTTTCTTGCAATTAAAAATTTAATATATCACTGGATAGCATTTATATCCTACTTATTATGATTGTCTCTTCTTTTTTTAATTCTAAACCTTCTTCTTCTAACTTTCAAAGTAGAGAGAAAAACTTCTAACTAATTAACAAAAAAAATTTTAAGATCAAAGAATAAAAAAGAAGATTTAAAAATAAAGGAGATACTTATACAAATACTATAAAAAAACAAACAAGAAAACAAAAAAAAAAAAAAAAAAAAAACAAAAAGAAAAAAAACCCAAACTATAATAAGTATACTATTATAAACTATACTAAGTAAAATAAGAAATTATATAACAAATACAATATTTATATATCTCTATTGTAAAGCTTTAACTTATTATTTATTCTAGATTTAGTTTAGTTCAGTTCAGGTTCAGATTCAATGAACCTAAACTAAACCTAAATCTGGACTACAAATTTTGCAAATCTTTAAACCTAAATCTGAACTAAACTTTGAATTTATGAACCTGAACTGAATTTGAGCTTAAAGTTTTGGTTTAGTTTAGGTTTAGTTCAAGATTTATAAACATGTTTAGATTCAATGAAAAAATATAGTAAATAGTAAAAATATATGAGTTTTTCTAAATATTTCTGGCCAGAGATATATAACTTATATTTCTCTGGCCTATTGACCAATCAAAAGAAGCAAAGGTCACGTGACTTATTTTTCCAAAATCATCAGTTGACCAGAAGGGTTCATACAACCCGACCTGCGACCACACTATGTATTTCATAATCGACTAAGTAAAATTACCAGTATACCAACAAATAAATTGCTGATTTTTATGTTATCATATAGTGGGTGAAAAATATCAGTATAGTAGTATGGGTATGTATATCAGTAATCAAATCAAATGTTTGTCAAAGATATGTGGGCCACAATCATGGCCCACATATCTTTGACAAATATTTGATTTGATCAAACTGATATACATACCCATACTACTATACTGACATATTTTATTTTTACCCGGGTAAAAGTCACATGATATACAAGTTTTATTATGTTTCTATAAATTGGTTAATAGTTAGGGTAGATGATATTACAGTATGTATTTATATTATGGCTGTTCTCAAGCATCTAAATCGATTGATTAAAGAATAACCATGATAACGCTCAAACATCACAATCAATGGTGATATTTATAGAATTAAATGCTTAAACATACTTTTTTTCTATTTTTTATGATCTTCGTTATGCCGCCAAAACATTTAAAAAATCCAATAAAAAAAATTTTGTTCAACCAACTGCCAAATCTTCAGCTTTGGTTATGTCAGCTTCTCCCTTTAATGATTTTACCAATATTAACCTTTTGTTGCAACAGCAACAACATATGAAATCATTAGCGAAAGTTGCTTTGCAGCAACAAAGAAGTAAAAAAATTTTATTAAGTTTATATGAGCAAAAAATAGAATAGCAGTATTTATTATGGTTTGGTTAAATATTAAAAGATGGGTTAAGGTGTCGATTATTTGTTTTAAAAGCTTCGAGCATTAAAAATAAAGGGGCTATTTTTTTAGACCAGTTGGAAATTTGTTGTGAATTTTGTTGTGAATACATTGTTTATTATGTTTGATATGTTAAAATGTAAAAGTAGTGCTTGAGCGATCTTTATCAATAGTAAATTTTTGGAGAAAAAAGGTGGTTTGTATCTTTTTGATTTGTTGTAACTCACTTGATTGATTTATTTAATTTCCGACTAATTAAGTGAGGTGCTTGAGAACAGCCTATATTATTAAGAATT